AATATCAAATTTTGCATATATTAAGTCATTTAAAAATATATACTAAATTTAATGCATTCCTTATCTAACATTCTTTCAGGTATTCAAATGTGTATACTTTTTTTATTTCTTACAAATAATGATGCTTTTGAATAGAAACAAAATGTATTGGTACTTTGGTAGTCACAATCCAGTTTCAATCCTTTAATGCTTATCATCACATGTTGCACTTTAACCCCCCCCGCCCCAAAAAAAAAAAAAAAAAAATAATCAGTTTCATGCAGTAATTGATCTTACATCTTAGATAATGCAAATAATGTCAGGCAGGCTTGGCAAATCTATGGCTTGCGGTCCATTTATCTTTCCATTTGTGCGCAGAAACACCAAATCTTAACTCACAAATGCTTCGACCACATCATCACAATGAACTGAAATGTTGCATCCACTGACACGTAATGTCTCCAAACCTGCCTCTCAGGTGGCTTATTCACAGCGGCGGCGCTGAGATAAGTTAATTGCGTTGCATGCTGGGGTTTTAGCCTTTAAGCAGCACCGTGGCTTCCCTTATCGGGACTCTACCCCCTACCCCCATCCAAATGCACTGATCACGGCTGGCATCATTATAGCCTGTATTATTAAAAGTGGTAGGGGGGGGGGAACAAAAATCGATACAGGATACCTTTTGCAGCGCTAGTGAAAACGAGGGAGATGGTGGGGAGGGGAGAGAAGGGGGCAGGGGATGGCTAAAAAAAGAGTGAGCTGGCTGCTGCATACCGGGAGGGGGGGGGGGCTTTCCCCAAAAAATAGAAAAAAGAAAAACAAAACAAAACAAATAAGACTCGAAAGAGACACACACACAGGCGGATGGACGAAGTGTAAGTTGTTTTTCCCTCGGGTCGATCTCCCCGTTGTTTGTTGTTTATCTATCGATTGATTGCGTTTTAATTACAGGGGAAGAGGGGCAGAGGGGCGGAGATTCGGGAACGAGCGCTCGACTGTACGGTGTGCTTGTACGTGCGCGCCCTCGGGTGCGTGCGCGCCTTTTAATTAACAAACCGGTGCATTTCTCTACGTTTTTTTTTTTAAAAGCTAGCTAAAAACGAATGTATTTCGAAGTAAACGTACGCCAAATAAATAGCTCCAAGCCAAATATAACCACACAGTAAGACTTTATCTCCAAGTGTAATTATTACCCACACGAATGCTGTTTTCGTGTCGTCTTTTGTCTTTATTCAAGCTAATAACCAAAGCTAACCCTCTGAGCACGCTAGCGACTGTTTTTACGCCTTTTTATAATATTGGCGTCACGGGATTCACCTCCAGGGGCCTCCATGTTAGTCGCCCCAAAAAAAGCAGTCCTCTTTGTCTCGACCCAACTTTTCCTCTCGTCTATCCGTCTGTGTGGCGTCCTAACAGGTTCTATGCACATTCACGCCGACTTAAGTCAATAAAAGTGCCGAGGGAGGGCTTCATGTGTACGCACCAAGCGGCGAGCCGTCCACGCCGAACCGCCTCCCGAAGCAGCGTCGAGACTCCGGCGGGGACCGAGCTCGCCCCGGCTCCTCCGCATTCGCAGCCGAACCCAAAGAAAGAAGCCCAAGCCGGAGGAAGATCATGTTTGTCCCCCTGCCAGTGCCGTTCGTCTTTCAAAGAGCTGCTCCGGACCTCAGCGCCTGGCGTCTCAAGTCCCCCCTGGCTCTCCGCTCCAACTCCGGTAAGACGTGTTCACTTCTCCCCCCCCCACCCACCTGCCAATCCAACCCTCCCCGCGGTTGTGACATCTCCGCCCCGCCTCGGTGGCTCGATCGCGTCCTTTCTTCTTTCCTTCCATCCTTTCGCCTCTCCCGGTGAAGCGTGCCCGTGCTTTCCCTCTCCTCCACTGCCTCAGCCTCCGTGTCTCTCCCCGACTAGACTCTCGGCAGGCAGGGAATATTCATGCCAACTTATCGATCCTCACGGAGATCGATTCCTCGGGCCGCTGGAAGCGAGCGTGAGGGGGAGATAGTAGAAGTGGAGCTCGGAGGAGTAAGAGAGAGGAGCAAATGTCCTCTTTGCCCCTTTTATATTATGTTATGCTTAATATAGCACTTCGCGGGTGATTTTGTACACTTTGTGTGCAAGCTGTAGTCAACATTTTGGTTTGATGGGTGATGGCATCCTCGCTCTTGGTCCCCGCGGTGCTGTTGGGATGCAACGCCGGGGATGAGAGCACTGAAGCGGCTCTAGTCAGGTGGTGATGGTGGCGGTAGTAGGCTGGAGCTCCATGAAAGGGAAGTATGGGGGGGAGAAGTCAACGAGTGTGCCCATTTTTTATCCCCCTTAACTATGGATGCATTCATTCTTTTGAATGTATGAAAAAAAATGTTTTATGCATTTAATGAGAATTTTTGACTGTCAACTGAAGTCTCTAAATTATCCGCGACATGTGCCCTGTGATTGGCCGGTGACAAGTTCAGAGTGTAACCCCCCCCCCACCACCCCCGCGCCTCAAAATCACTTGGTGCCTCCAGCTCACCTTTGACCATGAATGAGGATGTTAGAAAATACTTGTTGTTGTTGCTTTCCACGAATTGATAGCGACCTGGATCCAATGCTCCCATGCCCTTGTATGGCCTACACATCGACACATCGTAGGTTGCGCACCCCTTGACAATAGCGCGAGCGTTGCAGGGGATTGGTTTACGACGGTCCCAACTTCAAACATTTGAAGGTTATAAAAGGTGTTAGGATATGTTGTCATGCGACAGAAGGCCTCCTTGGTGACTGCCATACTTGCTGCTTTCCAAGTTGATTGTGTTATATTTATTATGTATAGTGTTTTTCTCAGAAATGTTTACATAAATGCCTTTAGAGGTGACAAACAGTGCAGAGGCGTAACAATGTGGTCACATTACAGAAGGCACGCTCAGTTACTGCCGTACTTAGCTTTTTGTTTATGTCCCAAAAGTGTATTTCATACAAATATTTTCAATAGTGAGGACAATTTGAGGTGATGAGGTTTTTTTGCTCACATGGCACAAGAAATCATGCTCAATTTCCAACATACTGTTTTTCAGTTAGATTGGTTTATATTCATGAATGAAAGTGCGTTTCGTGTACAAATATGCCGTGGTGTGACACAGGAAAAGCAGAATAACTGTCCTGCATGCTGTTTTTCCTTTCTGGTTTTATATTTATGTCCCATGAGTTATTTTCAGACAAATTTAGTGCAATTATGACATTTCAAGGTTATTAAAAGGTCACAAAGAACTAGTAGTAGAACAACTTACTCACTGTTTTCTTTGGATTATTATGCATTTATGGCATAGAAGTGTTTTTACTCGAAATATTTACTGTCGTCCTGATTTCACAACCGCATTAAAATGCTCACTGACCCCCCTGTGTGCAGGTGTAACACATATTTACAATAGCACAGTAATGGTGAAAAAATTCGAGCTAGAGAGGCTGGGCTCTTAAAGGGCCAGGCACACCTCGCCCCACCATCCCACCCAAATATGACAGCTCACCTCTCATTTCCAAATCACTTCAAGCATATTTGATTCGGAGAGCACCGGGCATCTCCAACGTTCCTGCACACACTCAGTCAGCGGTGCACGGCGTGTGACAGTGATGAGATAGGTGGGGGTGGGATGATGATGGTTTTGGGGGTGGGGTGGGGGTAGGAAAGCCCCAGAAGGAGGCGAAAGGAGCAAAACCAAGGAAGGAGGAGAAATTTTGGCCCTGAAAAATTGCGAATGTCAGAAGGAGATAAAAAATAAAATAAATGCAGTTTGAGAGAGAGAAAAAGAGAGAGAGAGCAGATGACAAGGTGAAAAATGAGGACGCGATGGAAAACCCAGTTTGAGCTGGAGAGGTGAGAGGAGAGCGTCGGGTGAGCCATAACGTTGCCACGGCCTGCGTCTGGCCCGACATTGGAATAATCGGGCCAAGTGATGCCATGTAGATGACGGGATCAAAGTGATTCACAAAGCCATGTTGAGTCTGTCACGGACAACAAGTGGCTGGTCGTTGTCACTGAACAGCGGTGGAAAAACGGAGCCCTTTGGCCCGCCCCGCGCTGGGGCTCTTGACTCGAGCGCCCACTTTACTGATTTCTTTGCCTGGTAGTGGCTCCTTGACTCCTTTGACTCGGAGCTCTGCAGGTTCAGGGGGTCACGCCGGAGAGCGCTTGACTCGGCCCCACCTGAGCCTTTACGACCCCCCCCCCCTTCCCCCCCTGACGCCCCACTTGTGTTTTCGCTCTCTTTCATGTCTGAACGGGCCTCGAGCATGGCGGGGTCTCATGAAAGAGATGGACCATCATATGCCACCCGAACATCCATGTTGAACTCTTTTTTTCCACCTGGTCAGCTTTAACTGATCCAGCCTTTTGTTCCATTTTTAATGGCATTGTGTCTGCGTGTCTCGATGTGTAGTCGAGTGCTTTGCGGAGCCATCAGCATTAAGCGCGGTATGAAAGTTTAATGGGACACGCCGGAGAAACAGCGGGTTTCCCGCACGGTGCGGGACCCGATGATGATACGATGGGACGTCACACACCTTAGATCAGTTCATTTCAACTATGCGCCTTCTGTCACACCCCATTAAGCGCCATCTTCTACCATCCACCTTTCAATGCCCCCATACTGTGCATACATGCTAACATTTGTGGGTCGTTCACAGCTCGCAACAGCTCACCGTGCTCTTGTCGCTGGATGAGCAGGCCCCAGAAACCCCTTTTCTAACCTTCCAGAAGGAGCTACTTAGTGATTTGGAGAGTCCAGATTAGGTGATGTATGCCCAAAAACTTCCATCTAGTGTGGAATACCTGCTTCGGATATTTTAGGCCTATTGGTACACCTTGTACAACTGCCTGCCTTTTTGGCGTTTTGTGTTTTATGGTGAGGCATCTGACGTCACTGCCATGTGCCGCCTTCATACAAATAAAAATTCCATTTTAATTGAGCATCACCCATCTGTCATGTATATTGTCTGTTGGTCCATTTCATACTTGATTCTCAAGTCAAGACTGTTTGTCGGTCCACAAGACGAGTGTTGAAAATAGTTTGAGAACTGAAACAATACTGTGTTGAATAATGTCTTTTTTTTTTTTTTTAATTAAAGGTTTCGGTGTTACTTGTATTCGGCCTGACAGCGGCGCTAGTTCAAATTTAGTCGCAATCGGATAAAATTTTGAAAAGGTGGTCTTTGATGGACCCCGAGCCAAACGAATCCTGAAATGTCCGCTTCAAACCAGCGTGAGCCACTTTCTGTCTCTTTTTGGTTTGGGGTTTTCGAGACTTTTTTTGGAGGAGTGGTCTACGCATGATAAACATACCAAATTTTCATGTTGCCAAATGAAACTGGCACCAGAGTTTTTCAATTTAGCTCAAAAGGGGCGAAATTTGGTGTGTTTGTTGTGAAAGCCTTCAGAGATGAATCTGCTTTAACCCTTTCATGCACCCTGTAACCCGATAACATGATAAGCTATCCACTGTAGTAACCGCTGTCCCTGGAAAAAAAGACATTTCGCCCACCAATGCTCATAATATACAGTATTCAGCATTTGCTGTATTGTTGCCCCGTTTTTGTTCTTAAATTTAATACGGCCCCTCAGAGCACTTTGGAAAAAGCTTCCCTTCTCCAGTTTTCGACAGAGGATCAATTCCATTTCCACGCACGCATCCATCTCTCGGTGATGCATCGCATGATGCCACTTGTGCCCACTCTGTGTGGATTTGTGTCCGGGCGATAGCCCACGTGGCGAATGAATGGACGACAGGGTGCGGGCGCAGGCACGGATCGGTCCGTTGGAAGGGCGGGGGGTGAGGTGGAGCGGGGAGGGCTGCGTGCCAGTCGCAGTGTTAACATGATTGCAAATGACAAAATGTCAACCTGGGTTTGTTAGCGACATAATGGGGAATCAATAGACGTGAAAAAGATGTCAATACTACATGCTTTATTGCATTAAGCTACCTCTCTCCTTCTCCGTAAGCCACCCCACCACTCCTCTCGCCCTCGCTCACTCCCCCGTCTCGCTCGCTGTCACAATACGATTCTCTCCCTGCTACAATTAGATTGCGAAATATGACTACGGGAGCAGAATGATGGCGGAATGCTCCGCTGGCTAATGAGCTTTTGGTTCTGCTCTTTGCGTACATTAGGACGGTATATCGACGCACTCCCCGCACTGCCGGAGGCCAGACTTGCTGATCTACGGCTCATCTCGTCCGCATCCATCTTCCACTTTCAAGATGATATATTGCGTTTTTGTCACATGTTTAGAGTTGGAATTTGCCGTTGTTTGCATTTACATCTGCAGGTATAACGTGGCTCATATATTACATTGAGATCATTATATTTGTTGATGGTGTTTATTTTGCTTATATGTTGACATTTCATCCATGCTTGTATAGTATTTCTCGACATGCGATGCTGCTGACTAGGCCCCGGATGGCTTAATTTGATTTTTTTTCTCTTTAATGAAGATACCAATTCTATTTGGCAGAATAAAATGGAGATAACTGTTGAATCTGATTTTAGAAGCGCTCAATCGCCTGGCCGATTAATCCGTCAGGCCCTAATGCTGTACTTGCTGCTTTAGTTCACATCTGCATTAGAGGGTGACACTTTTTTGGGAATCTCGTGAGATAAAAAGTTAATGGAGGGGGAGATTATCCAGTCGGGAAAAAAAAAAGAAAAAAAGCCCCGGACAGATGCGCCACCGTTTTTAAT